GACCCTTTTCTCTAAGTGTCCCTGCCAGTGTAGAAGAAAGGGTCCACATACCTGATTCCAGTTTATACCCGTGAGCCCCGTACATGACAGATGTCAGTTTTGAAAAAAGATTAAAAATAGAAGAGACCACAACAATTATAACAGTGTAAAGGTTTAGAGATATATTATACATACACAGCACAATGTATACATTACTTTAAAAATCCTTAACACCTCCAGCATGATGTGTTCTGTCAACAGACTTCATCAGCGGCTCCTGATGACTTTTTTATGCTTTTGTGATTTTATGAACTGATGCAGGTCCTCCAGTAACCATGACTTGCATGGATTTCAACAAATTCAAGGGCTCCATGGAGACTTGATGCCATCCAAAAAATCCTCTGTAAGTTTTGGGGTGGAGCTTATGCAGACTAAGGACCTTTCCTTGCACATAAATGACAGAGATCAGGCTTGCTGATAGACTGCTCAGGCACCTAATACTACATCATGGAAGGAAGGAGTGTCCTGTGCTTCTCAATATCCAGAAGTACCAGTTATTGACAGGCTATGAAGCAAATATATTACTTTGTGCAATAATGAAATAGAAAGTATTAAGAAATGACTGTCAAATCTGTCTGTAGATATGTTTTATATCCATGAATACTACATGTACAGCATTCTTGATTCATTTAATAGTTCTGTATTTTTAAAGGTATCCCGCTATGTATACTCAGTACATTACATGGATCCACATAACAAGGAAATATATTTTAAAGAAAATGGAGATCTGCCCAGCCCGCTGGAAATTGTAAATTGGATAACACAAGTTGGAGACAAAAATGTCACATATTGGAGACGTGTGGGCCGCTTTGATGGATCTCTTCCGGAAGATCAGCAACTTACTCTCACACCACAACTGATATCATGGAAACATGACCAGGTGACAGAAACTAAAAGAAGTCAATATTATGAGAATACATAGCCTGTCATTGGTGATGCTTCTTTTCAAATCTGCATGCCACTGCCTGTCATGTTTATCCAAAGTAGCTAATGCTTTATTCGTTATTGAACTGGAAAATATATGTAGATCAGAGTTCTGATATTCCTCTGACTTTATAATCTACAAACGTTTTGTGGGTTGTTTTCAAGAACGTGTTGAGGTCAAAGAAAAAAAAACAGCTACACTAAATATAAGATGGAAGGGACTGCATTGGCATTCCAGAGATACAAGGAATGTAATAAAAGATGTAAACATGAAATCCCGGCAGCTACAATAGATTACGAAAAGCATATCACCACAGTCTGTAAGAAGAACCCCAAAAATTATTTCAATATATAAACAGTTAAAAGGTAAGAAAAGAGCAGGACGGCCCAATAAAATATGAGAGCGGAAGATTAATCACAAATGAAAGGGAAAAAGGCTGAGGTATTAAATTCATTGTTCTCCTCAGCATACAATTAAGAAAAAAAAGGGTTTAAAGGAGATACGAATATGAGTAGCTCAGTGTGTAAGATACTGCAGTGGTTCTTTGTAGCCGGGGTTCAACAAAAGACTAAACAAACTTAATGCAATTAAATCATTTAGACAAGATAACCTGCACCCCAGGGTACTTATAGAGCTCAGTCAGGTTACAGGGAGACCAATATTCCTCATTTTCAAGGACCCCATAATGACTGGAAGGGTACCAAGTGATTGGCTTAAAGCTACAATATTACCAAAATTAAAAAAATGTTTTCAAGATGCCAACCGGGTAATAACAGACCAGTCAGTCTAACATCAATAGTATGCAAATGGTTTGAGAGAAGGATAAAGGACTCTTTAGTGGATTTCGTTCATGACAATGGTATTATAAATGATAATCAGCACGGATTTATGAAGGACCGTTCTTGTCAGACCAACCTACTAACATTCTATGAAGAGGTGAGAGATCATGATAGAGGAAGGCCAGTGGATATGGATTACCTGGATTTTGCAAAAGCTTTGACACGGTACCACATAAACGCTTAGTACACAAGCTGAGATCTACGGGCATAGATGAAATGGTGTGTACATGGATAGAAAGCTGGCTACAGGAAAGTGTGCAGAGAGTATTGATAAATAGTTTTGTTTCACATTGGTCTAAGGTAGAGAGTGGCATGCCCCAGGGTTCTGTGCTAGGCCCCATACTGTTCACCCTGTTTATTAATGATATTGGGGAGGGTGTTAATAACCATGTTTCTGTGTTTGCAGATGATACTAAAATCGGGAGGACATTATAACATTGCAGGAGGACCTGGATAAAATAGGGGAGAGGGCAACTATATGGCAAATGAGGTTTAATTTTGAAAAATGTAAAGTAATACCTTGGGGTTAAAATAGGAAAGCAGAATACACAATAATGGATGCTACACTAGGGAAGTCAGAAATGGAAAAAGATTTGCTGGTCATAGTAGACCACAGATTGAACAATAGCTTGCAATGTCAGGCTGCGGCAAACAAAGCGAGCAGAGTCCTGTCTTGTATTAAAAAGAGAAGGTACTGTAGAGACAAGGCAATCATTTTGACACTTGACATCGTTGGTTCGGCCTCATCTGGAGTATGCAGTTCAGTTTTGGTCACCGATCCATGTCCTTGAGCTAGAGAGAGTCCAGAGAAGGGCAACAAAACTAATTAAGGGGATAGAGGAACAAAGCTCTGTGACAAGGTTGCTAAAGTTAAATGCATTCATGCTGGAAGTGAGATTAAGAGGGGACATGATTTTGATGTACAAATAAACTTTTTACTGTAAACTCACTAACAAAGACTAGAGGCCACCACCTAAATTAGTGGAGAAAAGATTTAACCACAAAGGGTGTAGGGAGTGGGTAACTTTTGGAACTCGTTGCCACAAGCAGTGGTATAAGCAGAGAGTATTGAATCATTTAAAAATCAATTAGATACCTTCCTCAGAGACCATAGCATACAGGGGTACAGGTACTCTTAAAAACTAAGACCACACAGGGACTTATATACACACATTCGCGTACAACACACACAGACACAGAAAGGTTGAACTTGATGGACCGTTTTTTTTTTAATTCAACCTAAAAATACTTTGTATAGGTTTTTCCTAAATGTATTACTTAAAGATCACCTGTGCCCAAACAAGCAGTAAAAAGCTTTATAACACAAACGCTAAGAGCTTACTTTAAATCCATAGCATTCAATATTCCATCACATCATACACGTATCTGAATATCCTTGGGGGCTGGTATTGTACACAATGTGGTAATCACATTACTACCTTTATACCTCCTACTTTACTCACAATGTCTGTCAACACTTGGCAAATATTCCAACCAAAGACACATGGGAAAGGGCACCTGATGTGGCTGGTTGGTGTTACATTATGCATGCCATCTGTAATAGATGTGATCAGAATGCTGCTGTGTATCTCCATATTCCTCCCTTATATTCCGTATGTACATGACAAACATGTGTCTTCCATTTAGGGTGACACGCTCTCACTGCCATTTTAGTAAGACAGTCCATTCAGATTATTGATTACATCAAGTGTAAATACAGGGAAAGTGGAGAAGGAAGAAGGGCAAGGGTAAACACAGATACTGAAACAAAGCTTACCACCTTTCCCCCCTATGTGTGACAGAATAATATCCATAAGTAAACACAAACTCAAAAACAGTCTCACATATCAAAGAGGTCTGAGAACCATTATCAATTACCAATGAAGAATACTTTCCAGCCACCATGACATGAAGACCCTCAATTGTAACTCCTGATTCATATGGGTGCAGGGTAGAGCTTCTCTAAATTTAAAATCACTCATTTTAAATCAATATTAGGTCAACATTGCCCCTCCATGCACTCACATTGAATATCTAACATTTACCCTTTTGGGGTACTTAATGTGACATGTAGCAAATTGGACTGCCACAGGACTGTTCTCATTGCCTGAGGCCATATTTCTAATGTGGATGAGTGGAAGAGGGAATTACCTGCTTTCAACTTCCTAAATGTGTTAGTCACCACTTTATTATCTTCTTTTATCATTTCCTCATCTAAAATATTGGATCCTATAGCCAGGTGAATGTCCAGAATAAATCATTTAAATTATTACACACATTTTAAATAAATTAATAAATGTACTTTTCAACTATTCCCCCTCCATTCCATTAGAAGGTCATCCACATATTCTAGCCAGAGGGCAATGTGGCCACATAATGCCACTGATGGGAAAACCCACTCTCCTCCCATCATTCAAAATGTGAAAATGCATATGCTATAGCAATGCTGCTTCTGATGATACGTTCTTCCATTAAGTGTCAAGAAATTGTTTATCGATAGGGTCGAACTCCGATTCGGACCACATCTGGTCTAAATGTGAGCTCCTCTGAGCAAGAATCCTCTATGGGCACTTCCACCCTATCAGCTGTGGGCCAAGCATTCCCTGCTCTGCATCTACATGTAAACAAAGGGGTGGGATGCTTGTGCTGATGTCATTTAGCCACATAGCCAAATTAGGTTAAAGGCATCCAAGTCCCTCTTATCTGATGATATAAAAGTAAATAGTCATCTCCTCTTCAAAATCAGCTCCAATTACAAGTTTTTATTTTTATTTTCCTTGCATGTGATTTTTTGCCCAAGTGAATTTTTAGCACATTCTCTTAGGTAAGTTAAAATTATCTTGCTAAATAAAAAAAAATGATGTTTAAAGTGAATGCCCTGTACTCATTTAGTAAAGCAGGACCTTTGTGTTCCATGTTTGCTCTCCTGAAATAAATGAGGGAAAAAAACTGGCCAGCTTAGAATTAGACCCAATGCTGTAATTCCCCCAAAAACTCAAAGTAAGAAAAAATTGACTTTTTTTGACTGTTGATAGTTCATTACTTGTTTTACAGGTATTGTTTTTTTTTGGCCTGGCGTTGCCCTTTGAAATGTACATTTACCGACATTGAATGGTATTCACTTCTTGGCTTTTTTCCTTTTTCCTTTTCTAGTTTACTAAATGTATTTGTAATGATTTGTATTCTTTGTATCTTAGGCCCCAAGAGGTCGATGTTCTGCAGAATGTCTTCCAGGGTTTAGAAAAGCTCTAAGGGAAGGGTATCACGTATGTTGTTATGACTGTGCTCCGTGTTCAGAGGGAGAAATATCAACCCATTCTGGTAATATTTTTTTGTTATTTTAAAACTTAAAGCGAATGTATTTCAGTTTATATTTTTTAAATAAACAAGAAGAGCTCTTTTCCCAGTGTGACCTGTGCAATGTGCTGCTATAGATATAAATGGCTCATTTTTTTCTGCAGGTTCCCTGTTATATTGACACCAAAATAATATTTATGGTACATCGCATGGGGAAGTTATTAACAAAGTACATTAATGCATTTAAAATGCTTATTTTTTATGCTCACATCACAAAAAAGGGCATATTTATAAAGCAGTAAATGTGACATTTACCAAACACTCCCAGGTGGTTCAGTCCCTATGTTTTAAAACACATTCACTAGGAAAATTGCCTTCATTAAATGTTATGTGGATATCAAAACTAATAAATATTCCAATAACAGCAAGTCTCAACAGCTACACATGTGGTCATGGGCTAAGCATGAAAGGACTGTAGGATGATCCAGGTATTTTCTAGATCCGTAACCATATAAAGCTAATGGCAAAACAAACCTGAGCACTAGGTGTTGCATAAGCTTCCCAATAATGAGATCAATGTGATTTGCTGTCACAGTGATCACATGATCTGGAGCTTGTACTACCAGCTTCTGATTGTTAGTGTGTGACTGGGAGCAGTCAGTGTCATCATGGTCACAGTGCTCTGGGTGTGTGATTGAGCACACTCCAAATACTAAACAGCAACACATGCACTATATTACCAAAAGTATAGGGTCACCCCTCCAAATCATTGGATTCAGGTGTTCCATGAAATTTCCTTGCTACTAAATATTCCACGGTCACCTGTTACTGGTATTATAACAAAGTGGAAGCAACTGGGAACAACAGCAACTCAGCCATGAAGTGGTAGACCATGTAAAATGACAGAGCGCATACTTAAGCGGCAACTGTCTGCAGAGTCAATAGCTACAGACCTCCAAACTTCGTGTGGCCTTCAGATTGGCACAACAACAGTGCGTAGAGAGCTTCATAGAATGGGTTTCCATGGCCGAGCAGCTGCATCCAAGCCTTACATCACCAAGTGCAATGCAAAGCTTCGTATGCAGTGGTGTAAAGCACGTCGCCACTGGACTCTAGAGAAGAGGAGGCGTGTTTTCTGGAGTGAAGAATCACGCTTCTCTGTCTGGCAATCCGATGGACGTGTCTGAGTTTGGCGGTTGCCTGGAGAACGGTACTTGCCTGACTGCATTGTGTCAAGTGTAAAGTTTGGTGGAGGGGGATTATGGTGTGGGTTGTTTTGCAGGAGTTGAGCTCCGCCCCTTAGTTCCAGTGAAGGGAACTCTTAAAGGCATCAGCATACTAAGACATTTTGCACAATTTCATGCTCCCAACTTTGTGGGAACAGTTTGGGAATTGCCCCTTCCTGTTCCAACATTACTGCGCACCAGTGCATAAAGCAAGGTCCATAAAGACATGGATGGGGGAGTTTGGGGTGGAAGAACATGACTGACCTGCGCAGAGTCCTGACCTCAACCCCATAGAACACCTTTGGGATGAATTAGAGCGGAGACGGCAAACCCGGCCTTCTCCTCCAACATCAGTACCTGACCTCACAAATGGTCCAACATTCCCATAGACACACTCCTAAACCTTGTGGACGCCTTCCCAGAAGAGTTGAATCTGTTAAAGCGGCAAAGGGCGGAGCCAACCCAATACTGAACCCTACTGACTAAGACTGGGATACCATTAAAGTTCATGTGCGTGTAAAGGCAGGCGTCCCAATACGTTTGGTAATATAGTGCATATGTGGCAGCAAACATAAGGCTTCAACATTTTGGTGTAAGGCAGGAAGGGGTTAAAGAAACCTCAGCCGGTCCCTAAATTTAGAAATATCAAATTTTCCTTCAAGAGAAGATGTAGTACACTCACACATCTGCTGGTCCATGACTCATACTTAACCTTTGTTCTAGCACTGCAGCCTCCATCAATCTCCTAGGCATTAGACACTTTCAGGAGTGACCGATGCATAAGCCCTCCACTGCATGCTGGTACCTTTCTCCACCCCCTACGTCACTGTTGAGTCCTGTATATCATAGAGATTGGAGGAATCATAGTATGTGGTGAGAGACTCAGGCATTCAGCATTCCCAAAAGTGAAGGAGGCTGCAGTGCTTGAATAGTGAGAAGGTTGGAGTCATTCGGCACTGGAGAGGTAAGTATCGTTGGAGTCATTCGGCACTGAAGAGGTAAGTATCCAACATTCTCTCTTGCAGGGAACTGGCATTTTTATTTGCTTAGAAATGTGACAGGGTCTTCCATCCTGATTTATATCACGTAGTCTTCTATCCAGCCATCAGGGGGAGCTTGAGTCCCCTTTTATCATGTGAAGCATTGTATCACTCTGAGCTGTGCTGAAAGAAGATTGCTTTATTCAGTCCTCTACAGCAGTGATTCTGATCTCTGAGTTCATGACTTAGTCCAAGGTTTTACCCAAGGCCATTTTAGCTTGTTGTGCTGCCCTAGGCCCCACATTGGGCGCCAAACTGTTAAGGACCCGGACATCAAGAATCCGACATATATCTGTCCCTGGGCCAAATTCAGTACAAAGTGTGCACACTATCAGTGAAGAAATAAAACACGCTGACACAGAGTCAGAGTAAAAATACTTCTTTATTAAGAGCAGTGAAGAGATCCGTATGGTAAGTCCTGTATGCTGGTGTGTGAAGTGTGCACGCGTTTCCGGGGCACACCTCGGAAACAAATTTTCCATACTTCACTGCTCCGGTTCATTCACTGTCCTACAGCCTGTGTATAATCTACTCTTGTGAGTACCTCCATGTTTGTTTTAACCTCCTATTGAATAAACGTATCTGCACCAGGAAAGGCGCCCTTCTCTTTGTGTTTTCTCCTAGATGTCCCAGTCTCCCTGACTGTAGTGGGGCTGCGTCCTGCACTCATGCCTATTATTACTTACTTTTGAGGAATGATTGTATCTGGCGCTTTTTTATGAGATTTAAGTCTGTGTGATCTGATCGCCCTGATCTACTTCAGAACAGCATCTATTATGTGAGAGTGTAGAATGGATAGTCCTCGCTTTTAGCTCTCCACTTCATATATTTGTAACATTTTATATTTTCCTGGTTAAAAATAAAACATTGTGCATAATGTATGTTGTATTGTATTTTACTGTAACTAGGTTCTGAACACACACACACTCCCAAATATGGGAATTCATGGAGACTCATACTACAATCACACAAGTTTAACTAGATGGACCTGTGCTTTTTTTCAACCTTATCAACTATGTAAATCTGCAATGACTTTGACTTGGAGATTATCGGTGCTCTGCACTCCACTGACAACACACCTCTGGGGGCGGCAGGTAGCTGCTGTCAATCACAATTAGGAGGGGCAATACTCAGTACGATGAGCTCATGTGGACCTGACCAGCCTCTTCCTCTGACAATACTATTACACAGGAGGCAGAGGCTGTGTCATCAGGCTGGTTTGTAGTTCAGTGCCATGGGGGAGAGGGTGACAACACTATCTGAAGGCCCCTTAGAGCTTTGTGACTGTAGAACAGGTATAGACCCTGGGGCAGTGAAACTGGTAAGATCATAAGATACGCAGGACAAGAAAAAGTAGAAATAAATAAAAGTGTACCTAAACCATAAAGTAAAAATGTAATGCAGTGGGTATACAAAAGATTCACCTCCTTTAAAAAAAAAAAGACATTTTGTGTTTGATCCAGGCGTTTTTACTCAGTGCAACTTATAACATCCAAGTGAAAGATATAACACCAACATGTCAGAAAAAAATAAACAACATTCAAAATCAGAATCACTGAGTTGGGAAAAGGATCACCTCCTTGTGTCAGTATTTTGTTGCACCACCTTTTGCTTTAAGTGCAGCCTTTAGTGTGTTGGGATATGTCTCCACTAACTTTGTACATCTAGACTTTGCAATATTTGCCCGCTCTTCTGTGCAGAACTGCTCAAGTTTAGTTAAGTCTGATGGTGACCGTTTGCGGACTGCAGTGTTAAAGTCATTCCACAGATTTTCAATGGTGAATATGTTAAAGGGGGGTGATTCTTTTCTATTCCCACTGCATATTAAATCTAATGAAGGGTCAGTTATCGGGTTCTACTCTGTGTTGGATTATTTGGGGCTTCTGGCAGCTGTGAGCTTTGTTCAGGCTTCCTTCTGCACCTCGGCTCAACCAAAGGCAGCTGATGTACGGCTGAAATCAGCCATATTGAACTGGAGTGAATAGCCGAACATTTTTCGGCTCTGTTCACTTTGGCTCGGTTATTCACTTGGCTGCCTTCAGCAGCTCTGTGAAGAACCCTTTAGGTGCTGATTTTTACCTAAAATGCCTTTTAAAAAGTCTTAAAGGAATATAAATGTTTTGTGAGCTCAGAAAGTATACAAGCCAGAGATGGCCAGGCAGCTAGATTTTATAGCAGAAGATTGGCAATGGCTGTTTCTGTGTTTATCTCAGTATGATAATTTTTTAAACCATTTATGACTGCAAAAAGGAAAATAGACTCTTCACTTGGCAAGGACATTGTACCTTCACTAAGTGAATGTGGTGAAAATTAACTTTGCAAAAAACAGCCAATCATGTGCAAAGTAAATAAAAAAAATTTTGTCAGCAAAGCTTCACCTCATTCACTGAGCTTAGGTAAATGAAAAAGCGTTAATTCCCTTGCAAGATGAACAGTCTCTTTGCCTTTAGCAGGTCAATCCCAGAATGCAAAGTGTACCTTGTGAGAATGTTAATTTACCTTTCTGCTGAGAACTAGGAATGCACAGTTTGTGTTCTGAGTTTTCATACCCACTGTCACTTGGAGAGATGAGTCATAGAAGTATTGTCAAGTTAACGGATACATACCAACACTGGTCACAAGAAGGTTGGGTGTCAGCATTCATTGTAGATTATGCACATTTTTCAGTATATTTGTCTTCTACAGATAGTGAAAACTGCCAGATGTGTCCTGCAGATCAATGGCCTAATGAGGCTAGAAATATTTGTGTTGCCAAATGTTATGAGTATTTGTCATATGAGAAGGACATTATGGTTGTATTTTTATCTGCATCTTCAGTCATATCTTCCACTACATCTCTCTGTATACTTGGAATATTTGTTTGGTTTCGGCGCACTCCCATAGTCAGAGCCAATAACAGGAACCTCAGCTTCATTCTGCTCTTCTCTCTCATGCTGAGTTTCCTTTCTGTGTTCCTGTTCCTTGGACATCCGGTGGATATAACTTGTATGCTGCAACAAGTCTTCTTTGGAATTGTCTTCACAGTCTCTCTGTCTTCTATCCTAGCCAAAACCATCACGGTTTTTATTGCTTTTAAAGCCACCAGACCTGGAAGCTCCTGTAGGAAATGGGTGGGAGTCAAACTTCCCAATACAGTCCTGTTGTTCTGCTCATTAATTCAGGTTATGAATGGTGTTTTCTGGTTGTCCATCTCTCCACCATTTCAAGAGTATGACATGCACTCTTCTCCTGGGAAGATAATCATTCAGTGTAATGAAGGGTCAGTTATCGGGTTCTACTCTGTGTTGGGTTATATGGGGCTTCTGGCAGCAGTGAGCTTTGTTCTGGCTTTCATGGTGAGGACATTACCGGACAGTTTTAATGAGGCCAAGTACATCACCTTCAGCATGCTGGTCTTCTGCAGTGTCTGGATTGCCATGATCCCGGCTTATCTAAGCACCAGAGGGAAGTATACAGTAGCTGTGGAGATATTTGCCATACTGACCTCCAGTGCTGGAATATTAATCTGTATATTTTTTCCAAAATTGTATATTCTACTTTTTAAACCTGAGCTGAACACAAGAAAATCCATGCTGGCAGGAAGAATGATATGAAATATTGCCATCTTAATACACGTATGCTGTATTTTCTCTACTTGTAATTTCTTTATGAAAGGTTTATTATTATTATTATTATTGCACACAGGATTGTAGTCATGTATTTTTAGTTTTCTTGGTAATTGAGCTTCTTTGACTTTATAATTAAATATGAAATTGAAATGGAAGATGATTTTTAGGGACTGAATTCAAGGATCATTGCACAATCATCACAAAGTGAACTTATCCTTTTTGTCCCCTTCACTGACCTAATCTAACCCACCCTCACCCTCCTCTTATGCATAATTCTCTTTATATGATGGCTGTGGACATGCTGTTTGTTTACACTCAGTGAGGCTAGTCTTCATTTTCCTTTCCATGCCTGCATATTAGTTCCCTATAGCTTTCTCTGGGCTGTGTCCTAGGGTTGTAGACAGTCCTTAAGAAGTCTATTGGGCTGTGTTGTGCAATTGTGGCCAGCATAGTGAAGACTTGCAGGGCTAGATGTAAACAAATAGTGAATCCGCAGCCATGAGATTAAGGTCGGGCAAAAGGACAATAATTATAAATGCCCTTTAGTTTAAAGTGCACATTTTATTTAAGGGAAATTATATTAGCAGAGATTGAGGGACCAAAAACTGTGCACATATATGCTGCATTTTCCATTTCTATTTCAAGGTAAATGAAGTAAAAATAGTTATACTTTTTAATACAGGTTGTTGCTCCTCATTGTTGCTTATGATGATTGAAGGGAAAGGCCATAGGCAATCTACTGTATGAAATTGTATTATAATCATTGTTGCCTTTTCAAAACTTTATCTAAACATGATATTTGTATTAGGATTCAAGCCTTTAAATTCATCTGTGTCTTGCAATGATTCATCTCTCAAAGCTTTCTAAGATGCTGGTTAGCTTCCCGATCTCTGTGTCAGACTTTATGAGTACCTTAAGTTTTGTTGTTTGGAACTCTGAATTCCATGACTCCACCCTATTACATCCTGTTTAAGCCATGCCTCTGATATTTCTGTTTTCAAATGTATGTGCTCATTGCATTTTCTGTTTTGGTGTTGCATTGTCATTATGTTTCCAGTCTCAGCTGCTCATTTACTGATTTTTGGTTGTCTTCTCTTCCTAACGCTCCACTTCATATCTGACCCCACTAGTTACAGTCACCAGCTAAATACTGACCAGTATATCTGCCATATTGCCATTATTTCCTCTGCTAACTTTGTACTGATCATAGACTGCTCCTGATCTTCACCCTTATTTATTATTTAATCAACTAGACTCTGATCCTGATCCAGATTGTAATAGAATAATCTGGCTCCCACATGGACCTCACTGGAACATGTGCTCTGATTACCATATTACAATACATTGCTAAATCGTTAGAGTTTGGTGTCACTTATCAACAATCATTTATTGGCTTAAAACCAAGAGTAAACTGGACCTTGAACTGGACCGATGTGCATATATACCACAGTTCAAATGTTAGGGCACGGCAGACATAGCCTCCCACATCTGTCAGTGTTCCTGGCCTGTATCACATACAGGATAAGAATTCCAACTTCCATCAGATAAGTTACGGTAAACAAGTGATAACATATCACAGTCTGTCATCTATAACAGCATCCACATCCCTCTCTCCCTTATATAGTCTTGTCCACACATACAGCATACATCCAAGTCAGATACGTGGATACAGAAATACTTAGCATTGGTCCTTAAACAATTGATCATCTATACGAGGTGTTGGGTTCTCAATCAGAGTAGGGCTGCAACAACTAATCGACATAATCGATTATAATCGATTATTGAAAAAGTTGTCAACTTTTTCAATAATCGATTAATCGGCTTCCAATCAGTTGGCCCTGTTCACAGCTCCACACGCTGTGCGCCGCACCTCCTCCCCACCTCACGCTCGCCGCTGCCAGACCCGCTCGCATTCACGCGCCACACGCCGCACCTCCTCCCCGACATCAACACAAGAGGGATAATGGCCAGAAGCCTGACTGGTTTCACTAGTCACTGCTGGGGTATCAGAGGTGTGGCCTGTAGAATCCCAACAGAAATGGATAACCCAGAGCCCTCATTGTAAAAGAGTGGGCTCACAGCAGCCATATTTTCATTGTGTGTTGCAGCTGATATGAGAACATATAATTCTGTGAAGAACGATGGGTGGATACTTTGGATATTTTGTCTCCCTCTGGTCACTGTGTTTCCTCCTCACTAAGTGACTACTTTCTTCTGTAGTGACATAGTGGCCTACCGGAGGAACCACCAAACCCAGCAGAGGACAAGGTGTCCAACAAATGATAAGTATTGGATACTAGCAGTACCCATAGCTCTACAAGAGAGTGCAAATGAGACCCACTGTCCACTGAAATAGTGAGAATTAAATATTGAACTTTACATGTCACACTGTTCTGAGTATTAGCTCATTAGTTATTATAGTTATTATAGATTATATTTTAATTTGCAACAAAGGTCATTATACATTTAAAAAATGATTATCCTCTATTTTCAAGCAAGCCTGTTTTTGTATTCAGGTCAGGTCTGAACAGAATGATGTAACATTTTGGGAAAAATATACAGCCAAGAAGTCCAGTACTTGAGGCCACAATAGCAAAAATCTCTACAGCCACCATGTATTTCCCTCTGGTGCTCAGATAGGCCGGGATCATGGCAATCCAGACACTGCAGAACACCAGCATGCTGAAGGTGATGTACTTGGCCTCATTAAAACTGTCCGGTAATGTCCTGGCTAAAAAAGCTGTAATGAAGCTCACAGCTGCCAGAAGTCCCATATATCCCAGGACAGAGTAGAAGCCGATAACTGAACCCTCATTACACTGAATGATGATCTTTCCCTGATAAGAGTGAGTGTCTCGATCCTGGAAGGGAGGAGAAATAGCCAACCAAGTGACACAGATTATAACTTGCACCATTGATAACACAGACATGATAGAATTCGGCAGTTTGATTCCCATCCATTTCCTCCAGGAACTCCCAGGTTTGGTGGCTTTAAAAGCAATACACACCATGACACTTTTGGCAATTAGAGAAGAGACGGCAACTGAGAAGATGACACCAAAAGAGGTTACACGCAGCATGCAGGTTACATCTACTGGATGTCCGAGGAACAAGAAGACACAGAGGAAGCTCAGCATGATGGAGAACAGGAGAAGATAGCTCAGGTTCCGGTTATTAGCTTTAACAATGGGCGTGTCCTGGTAATGTATAAACATCCCCAATATTACACCAGTCAGAAGACAACAGAGGATGGAGACAGCTGAAAATACTGCAACAAGTGTATCATCTGTGTAGGAGAGAAATTCCTTCAATTTTGGAACACACTGATCCTTCTTCTCATTTGGCCATTCTTCATCAGAACATTTCATGCAGTTTTCACTGTCTGCAGGAAGAAAAAATACCAACACAATGAGCATCTGTGTCAGAGTGTCTGAGAACAATGTCTTGTGCTGCCTCACAGTTAGCAATTGTCTTTCCATCAGTACATTGTGAAAGAGTAAAAGAAAATACAATACATTACCTAAATATATAATATTGAAACATTAATATTGAGAAGTTTTTCAAATTTAGATAGATAGATAGATAGATAGATAGATAGATAGATAGATAGATACTTTAGGTTTTTATCATATGGTTCTATAGATACAATGTAACATAAAAATGTGTTCGGTGCCATAAAGATGCATTAAAAAGTGAAAAAAATTAAAACAATATAAAAGTATGTTACATGCATAAAAAAGTCATAAAGGGAAGTTTTCGTTCAACATTTATGTAATCTTTAATAATTAAAATCTGTTATTTGCTACCTTTTGGTCTGTTAAATAGACCTTCAGAGGGATTTTGTTGAATTTGTTCAATAAAAGCAAAACTCCTGTTGACTAATTTAGAAATTCAGAGCTGTCTGAATCTAATCAGTCCTCCTAGTTCTTATCTTGGCACTACACAATGATTAGTCTTTATGCCGTGTTTAGAGGTGACACAAGAACTGAGTGCATTTCTGGCTAATCAATGGGTTAGTTTTCTGTACTTGCAGGATCTTTAAATGGATATGAATGTGTAGTATGTAAAGCGCTGTGTAAATTGATGGAACTATATAAATACCTGTAATAAATAAATACAAATAAAACACAGATTAATGTATTACAGAGACGTACAGTTTATGTTTTTTGCCTTGACATACACTTTAAGAATTTGGTGTGTCAAATGTTGCCAACAAATAAAGGATTTTATTTTTATATTCTATTGATGTTTGACCCTATGTTAAAAGGAATACATTATAATTGGGGATAAGATTTGGGTTTGGGTCGACTATGAGTTTAGTCCTGACCTAGTCTGCCCCCTGACCTCTGCCTGCCACTGGATTACGCTACTTACTGCCTTCATTTCTGACCTCTGCCTGCTGCTGGATTTCTCTATTGACTATGGTCCTGATGAAGCATAAGTCCATGTTTGACTCTTCAAAGGACCACAGGTACTCCTTTATATATTTTTGTTCTGCCTCTTGTACCCCCTGGAGGGTGACTATAGCATTGTTCATAAATTCCTCCAGGCCAACCATTAACCAGGAAGCCTGTGTCCCTTAAGAGATCAGGGGCTGCAATAGATGAAGCTAGACAGTCTTTTTACAAGGGTGAGTTTTATAGATACATGTGTTTGATAAGTACAAAGAATACCTTTTGATCCTGTCAAACATTCAGAGCTGTCATTGTTCACTCTATCTATGTAATCTTAAAGGACCTATTCTTCCTCCCAGTACATTTATTACAGAACAATTAATCTCTATGTTGAAGAGATGGTGAGATGGGAGGGGTAGAAGTAGTAGTAGTAGTAGTAGACATAGTAGTAGTAGTAGTAGTAGTAGTAGTAGTAGTAGTAGTAGTAGTAGTAGTAGTAAAAAATTAGGAATTGAGTGTGCTCATGCCAGGGTCAGTAGATATCTTTCTGTACCTTTAGGGAGTTTAAAGGAATAAAACATGGTGGAATAT